CATATGCCTATGCCAGCAGTCAAGCGTGTGTCCCACTCTCAGCCAATCCACCACCAAGGCTACCAGGGTGCTACAACCCTTGTGTATCCAGTGACAGACAATAACCCTAATACCAAGCTCAACGCCCGACACAAGCCAACAGCATAACTATAGTTTATCACAGCCAGCTCAGAGCACAAGCCACACAACACTGTCAGCTACAACGCAACCAGTCAACCAACCAGTCAACCTTATCAACTGCAACTGCCCGTGGGTGAACAAGACCGCAGCAGCAGGTGTGGACCACCCAGGACCACCTCGACTAGCCGCAAAATTCCCCATCGGCTGATGCAGAACAATGCAAGTAAAGCTTCCAACAGTGCACAATGCATATCCAACCATCTGTCTCTGCTATCCTGCACTGCCACAATTGCACCTGCCTCTACTAGCCAGCACTGTCGCAAGTGCAACTAGTTCCACTGCACTGTACAAGTGGCCTGCAAGAACACTCACTCTTCAAGAATTCCTGGTATCATCGTGAGTCAGAAATGCCTGTATGATTCCTACTCCCTGTGACAATATTCGTCTAAAAGCCCCTTTCATGCATATGCTCCTGGGGCTTTATAGCTATTCTTAGTTGTAGGACTGGTTCTTATGTAGAACACAGCTCATCATCATCACGGTATTTTCCTAGGTGTGTAATTGTCTGTGATGTGTCACCAATGCGGCACAACGCTACAGTAACTAGTTACTCTGTATTGCTATCCTGTGTTTGATTCACGAAGCCCGAGGTATCTACGATGTGTGGTGCGTGCACTTTTTTAGACAAGTATCACTGCAATGACTTTACTTCCCAACCTGTGAGTTGCCTGCTCTCTTTGCTTCTCTCTTGCCACCCTGCCTCAGTCAGTAAATCTAGATCGGCTAAAGAAGCCAGAAACCTTGTCCGCCGTTCAGACATGTCGCCTGGCCACTGTACCAACAGCATGCTGACTAGGCGGCCGCTGTACAGCCTACAATACGGGCTATGTGTGCTCTCGCTCCCTGTATCACTGTGAACTAATGTTATTACTAGTATTATTTACTGCGTGACATTCACCACCATTTCGCTCTGTTTATAATAATTATACCCTCTGGTAATTATTATTATTTTTAGTTCACCTAACCTGTCACCAATCCAGTTGCAAGTGTTTTGGCGATGACGGTGGCTTGTGAGCTCGTTTGTGTCTGTCAGCTGTGCACATCTGGGGAGTTGCAATATGGCGCAAAGCCAGAGAATTGCACCGTCTCAAATTTTACCTGCTTCAATGGACGCAATTTCAGTTTCCCTTGGACAATTCCGAGTCAGGATCTTTGGCATCCGGGAAAGCTACCGATGAGAGGAACACTAACAGCTCAAACTTTATCCCACAGGATGCGCTGGACCAGGGCTGCAAGCCAGCGAAGCTAAGCGTTTCAGGATGGGGCTTCCGCTTTCGATCGATCTCAATACGCCATTTCACCCTTCTTCCTTCGTACTGAAGAAACTCAAAATGTTTTGTTGTTGGCACCCCCCCCCCCCCCCCCCCCCCCAGTACTGCAGTACAAGAATTTGAATTAAAAATTATTTGAATGATCGTACGAGATCGTATCCATGGCAATTCCTTGCCAAACTGACGTAATCCTGGAAAATCTCAGTCGATGGACGATGGGCCATGCCTAGTATTACTCAGTATTAGCAAGTGTAAGGCCGGCCATGGCCCATACTGGGCCATAGGCCATGGCATATTATGGGCCCATGTGTCCGTCTACATAATCATTACTAGCACGCTAGCGCTGTGTGGCCTGACTCCTGAGTCCTGGCCTGTGTGATCGTGAGTCCTGAGCGCTAAGCGCTAGCTGATATAAGTGCTAAGGACTCCGGGCACTGTAACATTACAACTAAAATTTCTAAATTGAACTACAGCTGTACTTGTAGCTCAAGAACCACTTATCTTTGTTCTATTCATCGGTTATTATAGATGACTTGCACAAAGAGTCAAATATTGTCTGGGTTCGATACGGGGCAAGTGGACCTTCTAGAATTCTCACTCTGACTTCCCGACCATTTGAGTTTGAGACTTTCGAATTTCGCGTTTTGCCTGACGAACACTGAGCAAGTTTTTTTGGCTAGAGTTGTTTTGATTTGGCTTGTAAAGTTGTATCGTCATGCCGAAGCGCTACTAGTCCTGCGCTTCAAAATTCTGAATGCACCAGCCGACTATACTAGGGATGGAACTAAGCTAAGGCTCTCGTTCCATACGTTCCTTTCCGAACCGGAAGGCTGAAACGTGATCTATTCATGCCATATCGAGCCGATGATGAGCTTGAACGAGGGAATATTTTAGTATCATTGGAAAATAGTGTAGGCTGCAGCAAGCACGTCGTGGTCCTGGAGTGTGACTACTTTCCCGCAGTGGAAGCGAAGTCAAGCACAACGAAAGTTTGTCGACGTCTGAGAAAAGAACTCGATTCTTTTGATTGCTGCACTAGCCACTAGTACCTCCAGAGCGACCCTCTCGTGGGGACAGACTGCGGAGAGGCCCGGAACCTGCCGCGTAACGAGTGGAAGTCCAAACCACGGAAAATGAAGAGTGGAGGGACCGAGCGTGAGAGCCAGATGGCCTTTAATAGTACTTCAAGTAGTATCTGAGTTGAAGGAGAGAACAAGTGTCACTGTGTGCTGAAGAAACGCTGTAAAGTCCTCAAGCCTGATGTAGTACTAGCTACTGTTGAAGTCTCACTTGTTCCGATATGAACGTTTCATCAGCCCTGACCGTCTGAGCAACTGTATCTAGACTGGACGTTGGCCAGAGACATGGCATTGTAAACCTTACTGAATCCATGCAATGTCTGGCTCTAAGGAGAAAGCAGTTTGGCGCCGGCTCGCAAACTATGATTGAATCAGGGAGTGGTCGAAAGTCACAAATATCCCTCCATGATTAGCTGCTGCTGATGACGATGCGGCTCCAACTGGGTCTCATGGGAAAGTAACGTGTACTGAAGCGCGGAACAAATAGTGCCAGAATGTGTGCGATGCACTTTACTTATCTGAGCATGTTCATCATTGTGGATGTAGCAGAACTATGCTGCGAGGTACCTTCTGTGTTGGACCTGCAGTTGAGCCACTACTCATCTTCCAAATTCCGTACAAGGGTGAAAGGACGTGTTGGAGCATCATCAAACGGTACATTCACCGTCATCATACACTGGCTCCATTGCCTACAGTAGTTCACGTTTTGACGGGGCGCGCCGGGCCGCTACGTATGGAGTGGCGAGAACCGTTGGAATGCTCATGATGCTGGTTAGCGGCGACGAATGTGAATGTCAGGAACGGGTACGCAACCGCACAACTGTACAGATCAGGAAGTGATGGAAGAGTTGAATCTGTTCGACCGCCCATGCCGTGCACAGGGACACAAGCGTAGAAGTGGCTACGTTTCGAATGTGAGCTGGCGATGGCGTCGTGTGGCGACGAAAACAACTGCCACTTTTCAAATTTCAGCATTTCGAACACTATGCTTCCCATGATAACTCACCGAATGGCTCACATGACGGAGTTGGGCTTTACCAAGCTAGGATTATCATTTGCTGTGTTCATGGATTGTCCTTGAGTTTTCAGAAGAACTGCTTGATATTTTACCTGTTGTTCCTTTAGAATGGCGCAACGCCCATGGCTGCTTTCTCGGTCTTCTTAACAGACTGGTATTATCAGCGTGATTCCGCTTTATTTGAGAAGAAATAAGAGAAAGGAAGTCAAGAAACGTCAACCCCAAGGGGCATGGACTGTGCTTTATGACTCGTGTCTATCAACACTAACCGTCGCAATAACCGCTGCATGCGTGTTGTGCTGTGCGAATCGTACCCGATTTTACAGCTCACCCAAGCCTTCCCAACAGGCTCCTATATCCCGTACCGGTTAGCATTACATTGAATATGAACTAGGCTAGCACAGTTATCCTTTGTTCTCCTGATGTCGACGGGTAGCATGACACTTGACGTCTTCTTGGGAGCCTCGTGCATATCCTGCAACACTTGCTGTTCCTGGGTGCCATATTATTGGTTGCATGAGGGTGCTTTTATGCTCACTGTTTTTTTGGTAAGACTGTTTTTTAAAATAGGTTTACTAACTGTCTCACGGAAGAATAAGACCAGAGTTACTAGTACTGTGACTCATCAGCTGCTAAAGACTGTGAAGTACATGTGCTAGTACTGTCACGTACACGGTTGTTGTTGGTTGACAGCTTGTCACAAGGTGGAGAACACTGTGTTCAGTAGAAAAAGTGACCGTTCTACAACCATCTCTCTCTCTCTCTCTCTCTCTCTCTCTCTCTCTCTC